CATCTCGAAAAAAAGGAATGAAATCAGAGTGTGGGACATACATATTTCCTTTGTCTCGGTACTGAAGATAGACAGGCATGGCTGACTTTTCATGTGTGTTTATTGCTTGGAGGATATCTATTTCCATAGCAATTTGTTCTCTTTTATGAGTTTGGCAAGTAGTTTTAAGTGTCTTATATCTCAGGTGAAGCATCTCACATATTGCTGCTCCACCAAAGCGGTAATAGACATCATCATGATCCTTGGTTTGCTGTGAGACAGGAGCATGAGGAACACTGCGTGTTAATGTGCTGTGACTTAGTAGACATGTGTACAGAGAAGAAGAGAGAATAATCATCAATTTATTGCAGAGGTCGGAAGTCTGACTAGCTTGACGAAATGTCATCCACTGTGCCTGAATACGGGTCATTTCTTCTGTTGGTGATTGCACCACAGTTTCAATGGAAATATCATTTGGCAATAAGAAAATGCTACTGTAGTTATGCCAGGCCAATTGGAATCTCAGATACTTTTCTTTTCCTTTACCATAAGTTTCATATAGTAAAACAAATGTTGCCCTGAGATGCTCCAGCAGTGAGTGAAATAGAGCAGTATTACTACAAAGGTCTTTTAAAAGGCTTTTCTGACTTTCAGTTTGGAGCAAGTACTCACCGTGTTCAGCCTCCATAGCAATGAGCACCTTCTCTGCAAGCTCTTCAACAGGGATTATTTTAATGGACTCTAACAATGCACTCCTCTCATCTTTCTTAAGTAACTTAGTTCTTTTATTACATCCTTCATCTTTGTTCTTCCTCTTTGAACAGCTTGGAGTTGTAGTAGGAGTAATAGTAGGAGCTGTATTTTCAGCCATTCGGACCTTAGGCTACGTTTCGCGCGACTTCGTCAAATCACGTGACAATATTAATTGGAAATAATAAATATACGGACGTATAACGGATTGTGACTTTGAGCAAATACGCCGTCATGCAGCAGTCTTCTATAGGGGCCGTTCGATACTCTCTTTATATATTATGTACTCTTGATGTTACGTAGTTATAAAATCTATGGTTGGACCCCCCCCCTTCTTTTTGGACCGGGGGTCTAAGCGCTCGCGAGTAGTTGGACCCCCGGTCCGTATACTCCCTGAGCGCTTGGACACTGTGTTTGGACTCCCTTGGACCCCTCGCCATCAATCTTTGGACCCCCTTTCTGCCGTTGGACGATCGCAAAACAACTTGAGATACCACACTGCTGTTACTTAGTGCTGTATGAGCATATCAGCATAGTGCTTTGAATTGTAAACATAGATACTTCTAAGACTAAATTGCTGTAACTAAACACACTTTTCATGCTGTTTCTAATAGTATGTTGTTGTCCTCTACCCACTTCTTTTACCCCTCCCTCTTAATTAATACTTTTGAGTCTGATATAATTTTTTTATCTGGGAATGGGCGTCAGAACAATGGGCTGTCATGACATTCCTTCAGGCCTTTATTCTTCCCTCCGTTGACATCTCTGCTGTCTGTTTCTCTCATTCTCTTTATTCTGTCTAAGTCCTGTAAATTCTAATAATAATAATAATAATAATAATAATAAGGCTTGCTGTGCAGTATTAGTTGTTGCTGTCCTTCAGTACCCTCTGTCATTTTTCTCTCGTCTCTGCCTATGTTTGTCTTATACTGTTAAGTTCATAATAATAATTATTATTATTATTATTATTTTGTTAATATTAAATTTTACTTACGGGGGTATCTACCGTGCTTTGTAGGTTGCTTGACCCAATTTTCTTACTTCCTGCTCACGTGACATGTATTATTAGTATGGGGAAAGTCACGTGATTACGAGTTTGCAAGGTCAAGCAACCTGCAAAGCAAGGTAATAGATTTAGAAACCTGGTGTTCTACAATCTGATTGGTCAATTACAACTAGGCATGATAGAAGTATAGGTTATACACCGAGGTAGAGGTTTCTATGGTATTTATTAACCGAGCGACGCAGTTGCAAGGTTAGCAGTAAATACCACAGAAACCGATACCGAGGTGTATAACCAACTTCTATCATAACATTTGAAAACAACTACCAGCTGCTGATAATAAGACCACAGTTGACATATATACCATGTCCAGCAATGAGTGGACGCGGATTAGTATACTGAGCAATTATCTCCGTATACTACTGGTTGACTTTATACAGGGCAGGAATGGACATTTCCATTTACTAGGCTATATCTTTCTTCAGAATAAGTCTCATCAATTTGTGCACTTCAGTAGCTGTTCTCCATAATTATACCTGTGTTCCTGCTAAATATGACAGCACTTGGAGTAACTTTGTGTGGAACATTTGCAGATTAAAGATGTGGCAGTCAGTGCCGCCATTTTGTCATCCTTTATGTATGTATGATAATTTTTTACTTTTTGAATGGTTATATCTAAATTTCAAACAATTTTTGACAAATTGCGCACTTATTTTGTGAAAGTACAACATTTTTACTGCCCAATCATGCAAAAAAGATAAAGAAATTCAAAACTTTGTTCGGTACTTTAGTCTTCTAAAGGTGAAATAATTTTAGTCATCTCAGTGATAACGGGTGCAGCAACAAGAGTGAACAAGTGCTTTTCTCTTCTCACGGGAATAATAAAGTAAAACTAAGAGTGCTTAACAGCTATACAAGCAAATCATGTCTCTAGATCCTTTTAAAGTAATAACAAGAAGGCCTTTTGTTAGTGGATGAGTCTTCTTGCGCCACGCCTGCCACTTTAACAATAGAATATGAAAAAACTACCATAACCAATTGCATTAAGTAGCATTCAAGAAGCTCCAAGTATCTAGTGAAGTCCCATCCATGAACCAGAAAGACGTTAGCAGGCTTTGTAGTGAAGCTTCCTATCAATCTACCATTGCTGAGCTGCCGTTGCTATGGTAATTCCAATGAATATCATTAAATTAATGCGACCGGAAGTCCCATTGCAATAGCTGGACATGCAACATTATCTAAAAGGCTAGGCCAGTAAAGAATCAACCAAGCTTGACAAATGGACTAATACTGAAGAGCACAAGCGTAGAGTGCCAGGTTTCGCTTATTTTATTTAATAAACCAAGAGGTTAATAAGTGTTCCCGGGAGGTTAATACTAATAATAATAATAATAATAATAATGTTAATAATAGGTGTGGACATACAAATAAATATATGTATAAATATATTTCTATCATGCCTAGTTGTAATTGACCAATCAGATTGCAGAATACCAGGTTTCTAAATCTATTAGATACCTCCCGGGAACACCTATTAACCTCCCGGGAACACTTATTAACCTCTTGGTTTATTAAATAAATAGACATGGCAAGTTATAGGGAAGAAAAAGTTGAAATAAAATAGTGAAAACCAAGTTTTGTTGGTTTGCAAGGTTTTGAACATGCAGAGCAAGTTTTAAGGGCATATTAGATCTGGGTGTCCCAAAAATCATTGAAATTATTGCAGTTATTAATAAATTGATTCTTTGAAAAACTAGAAAGCCTATAGGAAGGTTGCCTTTAACATTTGCAAGATAAATATTTCATTTAATATAGGTTCCTCAAATATGGATTTTACTATGGTGAGTACCGTACACTGGTATTGAGAGTATGGGTTTTGAGGTTTTGATGGTTTTGATGGTTTTGAAGGATTATGGGTAGCATACACTGGTATTGAGGGTATGGGTTTTGAGGTTTTGATGGTTTTGAAGGTTTTGAAGGATTATGTGTAGTGTACACTGGTATTGAGGGTATTGGTTTTGAGGTTTTGATGGTTTTGAAGGTTTTGAAGGATTATGGGTAGCATACACTGGTATTGAGGGTATGGGTTTTGAGGTTTTGATGGTTTTGATGGTTTTGAAGGACTGTGAGTACTGTACACTGGTATTGAGGGCATGAGTTTTGAGGTTTTAAAGGTTTTGATGGTTTTGGGTTCAGTGTATGCTAGGGTTTTAAGCAAAGTCTTACTTTGTTATTACAGTGAAACCTGTCTATTTTGACACCTTGGGACCCAATAATACTGTGCTGAATATTAAAGTTACTTTATTTTAGAGGTTCATTAATTAATACACATTTATATTAATTGCATTTACCACCTGTCCTGAGCTTTTATTGCAGACTGTCCATTAATTAGAACAAGTTTGCCAAGTCATACTGTAGCAATTTAACAAAACACTGTTCCCCTCCTGTGCTTATGAGGATACATTCCACGAGATTTTACACAAGCAACTATTATCAAGAGTTCTAATTAGCATTAAACTAATTAAATTCACACTTTTACCAAAAAAGGTCTAGTCTTTGGTATTATATCAATGGTATTATTATCATAATTTCAATAGAAGTAAGATTGAAGGAATCTTAGAAATATTTAATTAATTAGTCTGAAAAAAGCTAGCTACTTTTGAAATTTATAAAATCTTAAGAGTGTTGTTTGTTATGTAGTCAAATTAATTACTTTTTTATTTCATGGTTTATGATTGAAATGCAAAGCCAAAGTGGTTGATGACCCTACAAAGGTATTGTAACCCAGGCTACACATTAAGAGCACATTGTGGTTATAATAGCTATAATTAAAACTATGCATGTAAAATTTAGACCATTACAGTAAGGTATCATGTAGTGAGGCGGGGCCAGACCAATAGTCTCACGATCACTTAGCCAGTCTCTCCACCCCTTCTTGAAGTCAAAAAGAGGTAGAGTCTTGCTACTTGAGACTAAGGAAGGCATATGTACTGGTATTCACCTGGGATGTGGATCCTACCCTCCCTTCAAGCAGCAAACATACTCCAGTAAAGGGGTGTAAGTATTGATGAGCATATATCACTAAAAGATACTCACATCTATGTTCTAGCTAATTGTGTTCCTTTATACATTGATACATAATTAAATTTTAATAAACCCAAATTTATAATACATTATTATGGTACTTAGTCTGTATAATCATTATTAATGTTTGCATTTTGGACAAAAGTATTTGAATCCTTCCTTTGAAGCCTTGTGTTTTGTTAAACCAGCACATCGAATATGCACCCACTAAGAACATTTTTCACATAAGACCCATGTTGAATTCGGATTATTTCTTCTCATCAAACAGATGTCCTTGGGGCAAGTATCTAAAGGGGTCATTTCTTTGCTTGATTGTCTTGTCCGTGTAACTTTAACTGGCTTCACTAGGGCATTGCATGCTGCATTGGTTGATATCAAAGGTCTCTTATCACCTGCTCATTGTTATAATACAGGTACTTATAACAGCTTTAATTACCATGTCCATCAAAGTGACCACTCTTATTCAAAGTCCTCCTTGATCCAGCAGTGTTTAGTTTCTTCCCCTCTCCTGTCTCTTTACTTCTCACTCCTATGATCATGACACAAAATATTTAATAGCAATTGCTATGTGCTGTGCTAACCATTTTCCTGTACAACACTCTGAGATACTCTAGCAGTCTCTGATTCATTAGCAGTCTCTGATTCATTAGCAGTCTCTGATTCATTAGCAGTCTCTTTGCTTTTCTCACCTTGTGGTAACTGCCTGGTCTATTTAATTAACTGTAATATAATAACATTTAATAACCACACATCCTCCATATAAATAATCCTGCAATCAT